GGGAAGGTTGTTTGTTTGTTTGGTTTTTTTTTTGTTGTTGTTGTTTTTTAAGAAACCTTAAAACCTACAGCACAATTCTACTGCAGGAGATGGATTATGTAGCAAATTCTGTGTCGGCAGAATCATGTTATATATACATGGAACCCTGGTTAAGACTTGTACAAATAGAAACTGCAATTTATTAATATAATTTTAAAGTAATACAATCAAGTTGTCACAATTTTAGATAATGGAGAACAGTAAGCAACTATGTAGCAAGAAATCAATGATAGAAAAAATTCTTGGAATCTTGAAGAATCACAATATAGCTGTCTTAAAATATAAAGGTAAAGTACATACATAATATCGACAAGTTAATATAAGTATCTGTAAGTCAAACCCTAATGGAGCATATAGGCCCTCATCCTGCAGATACACTCGCACTAAAAAGCATGTGTTTACACCTGATTAGGGTCATAGTTACTACCAAAAGTTCTCCGCCATTTGTCTACTATAGTTGCTAAAATAAGAATGTTTACTAAGAAAACAGCACTTTTTTCCAACATTTTTCTTTGAAGGAAAAGGAGAATTGACTAGTTCTTCACTCACCAGTTGGTACATAGGATTTGAAGTGTCCTGATAGTCTGTCAACAAAGGCACCTAGGACATCTAATCCAACTAACGCCACCTGTAGAAATAAAAGAAAGTATTAGATGTATATAGTGCATCACTAGACAGTTCTTTAAAACACATTCTAATCTGTCTATAAATACCTGGACTGGCTACTGATGTAATCACCCATATTGAACCATCAGATCAATATTCGAATTAGAGAGCTGACAATTATTTTCTAAAGGTTTTATATAAAGTTAATAATTTTATATAATATTTAGGGTTCATCTAGTATGTTTACATAATATGATGCACTTTGGATTTTTCAGTACCTTTTGCATTCTTCAGTCAAAAGGGAGCAATTTTTAGGAATGCAACATTTTCATATTCTCATCTATAATGGATTTGTCTAATTTTTGCATTTGTAATTGACACTGATTTACTTAAAATTCATTTGCTAAAGGAATAATAGATACATCAATTATGTTTCCACATCTGCTACTGCCTGTAAGGTTCCTAGCCCTATGATCACTGTAGGTCACGTGACCTCTGGACTAAGGAGGTCATTTTTAAAGGCATTCTGGCCAGCTGTCTAGGCATTTCACTATGCAGTTGAAAGCACATGTGGACATTCTATCTTTAACCATGAAGATCACTTAGTAATATCTTATTGTACTTGCCAGAACTTTCAAATACTTTTAAGCTTATTTCTATTCCTGTTTTCCAATCTTAAAATTAAGCACACAATTTAAAAAAATTAATAGTGATTAATCATGCGATTAAAAAAATTTAGCCAAACACTCAGGGATGCCAGGAATAAGGTAAAACATTAAAATTATAAAATAATTCTCTAACAATCACTTTGCTTCAGCTTCACTGAAGAGAGTAGGATCAAAACTAATTATCCCTCACAATGTCTGATGGAATTCAGTGGTTAACTGTTTTGAGTTATTTATTAGTTACTGGCCTATCCGGATGACAATTTGTGAAGAAATTCTCTATAAAGTAGATGGAAGTTTCAGAGTGTGACACACTATCCCAAAGCAACACCCTGGCATCACTATATTCACCGTTGTCATATAATTGTGATGTTTTGTAAAAAGTATATCTTGTGAGGTATCATTTTAAAAGTCTTGATCTGTTGAACATGAATATTCTGTTGGATTGTATGTGCCATCATTGTATGTGAAGTTATGAAGTTTTGCTGTGTGTACGTTACTGAAATATGTTGTAATATTGGAAAACACCCACAACCAGGCTTTCAGGTACAACAATGGAGAAGCCAGACAGCACTGATGGCCAATTAAGGGGAATCCACACTACCAAGGACTATCTGAGGACCGGAATACAATGAAAACTTCTCAGAGGGAACACAGACAATGGAGACTGCTTGACTCACATCACAACAAAAGATTTTTCGAGCAAGCTGGAAGAACCTATAAAAAAGAAGAAGCGATATCATCATTTGGCCTCTCTCCTCCCGCAACTCCACACCTGGAAGGCACATCTGGTGGACAAAGATTTGGAATGGCGGAGGTAGTGCCAGACTGGAAAGGAGAATCCTAGCTTGTATTAAGGCACTATACCAGGGGTAGGCAACCTGCGGTACGCGAGCTGATTTTCAGTGGCATTCACACTGCCCGGGTCCTGGCCACCGGTCCGGGGGGCTCTGCATTTTAATTTAATTTTAAATGAAGCTTCTTAAATATTTTAAAAACCTTATTTACTTTACATACAACAATAGTTTAGTTATATATTAAAGACTTATAGAAAGAGACCTTGTAAAAATGTTAAAATGTATTACTGGCACGCGAAACCTTAAATTAGAGTGAATAAATGAAGACTCGGCACACCACTCCTGAAAGGTTGCCGACCCCTGCACTATAACATCAGGGTGAGACATTCCTTGATTCAAATCCTGTCTACTCAATAGAACTCAGATTGCAATCTTACTTTTACTTCTTAGGTAACCAACTGATCTTTCCGCAGTTAATAAATCGGTTTTATATTTTACCTAAAACGATGTGTTTTGGTTGAAGTGCTTGGGAAATCTGTGCAGCATACAAAAGCTGGTGCATGTCCTCTCCACATTGAGGGATGGGCAGATTAGGTAATAAACTTACACTGGTCAGGCTTCTGACCAGGGCAAGATGATCCTGGGCTGGGGAGCTGTGGGAAGTCGCTGGAGTGTCTCTATTGTTGGTTCATGAGTGGGTAGGAGAAGCATTCATGTAACTCAGCTGGGTGTATCCCTGCCTGTGGATGGCTGTGTAAGTGCAGTAGCTGGAGAGGTTTGCAGCTTGTCACAACATCACAGTGTGAGAGAGAGCCCAGGTTGGTACACCAGAGGGCTCAGCAGTACCCCAGTTTCAGATTGCACCCTGGGGAACCCGTCACACACAGCAAAAGTAGTCAACATCGGACTTAAGTGAAATGTAGAAGATAAGCTTAATATACTGAAACCTGTTTCCAAAGCTTTGGACAATCTGCAGAAATATAGCTGCTCTATTGCTGGTGCCATTGAAATTTGGAAAGAATTTTAAGCAGCACTGCAGGAAGAAACACTCAGTGAAGCTAAATTGCAGGCAGCGAAGAAGCAAATGGAACAAGCACTTACCCACCTCATTTTCTTGCCAATATCCGCAACACAAATTACCAGGATAGATGCCTAATTGCTGAAGAGGAAGATGCTATTGTAACATGGACATCTACAATCATCCATCAATCACATCAGCCATAGTCATTGTCAAGGTTGGAGTTGAACCATTCAAAAGGTTTGTTTGCTGCAGAAGTTTTAAGAAGTCAAGGCACTGAACTGGTGTAAGTAATTTGTTAAGCACCTGGAACCAGATTTTACTGAAGCACTAAACAAGCCTTTGACAGCAGTAGTCTCTTCTGCTGGTGCAAAGAAAACACCGTCCTGGACATGTAATAGTCAAGATGTAAGGGATGTGGTTTTATTAGGTTGCATCTTTATTAATTTAATTATTCTGGGAACTATCCAGCAATAATTCACACAGTGTGGGTCATGATTCCTTTCTAATTGTTTCCAGCTGGTGAAGAGCTGCTGTCAGCCCTCACACACACAAAACTGGTCCCCAACCTGTTGCTTGGACCCCAAACACCCTCCCCTAATATGATGGTTAAGAGGCAAGAGAAAGGGGGGAGTCTCTTCAGAGCACCAGATGTTAGGAGCCCCAAATCCATTATACAGCCTCTTTGCAGGATGCCTTCCACTATAGTCCACTTCCAATTTATCAAGAAACCAGACCCCCCCATGAAATCAGTACCTGCACTGGACATCTCACATATGCTAAACTATGACAACACTAACATTACCTCCTGATGTACACCAAAGGGTCACTGAGCTCCTGCGAGGAAGGTGAAAACCAGCCATCCATGCTAATCTGGCAGTGAGAAAAACTTCTTGCCAATCCAAAAAAGGAAACTAGCACGTCCTCACCAGACAAAAAAAACAGGGATGGAATGGTGGGTGCTGCTAATTTAGGTGTGACATTGGTTCAAGGTGGAGGAACAGAGTTTATGCACCTTCCCCCATGCAGACAGGGGGCCAATGGCTTACATGAGTCCCACCAGCCTACCTACCTAGTCAGATAATTACTTCCTACCCTAACCATCCCTAGTCTGCAGCCACACCCAAGAGGGTGACCCCTTAAAGGGGCCACTATATTTCTTTCCCACCAGCTAAGACTTTTCTGCTTTGGAGCAAAATGTTCTGACCTTCAGCTCACAGCTTCTTGTGGTGGACATCATCCAGCTACCATGCCGGCTATTCAACTTGATCTGAACATTGTTCTGTGAGACACAGGCAGGGTGGATATGATCATCAGATCTGAATAGCATAACTACCTAGCCTATGTTAGGGCTATAATCAATCTTCAGTCCTCTGCTTTGTAATAGCTTCCTCAGAACCCTCGGTATCATGGGGATTGGTGGAAAGGCATACAATAAGCTTAGATGTCTGGAGGGAAGAGAAGATGTCTGTCAGGGAGCCTGGACTTGCACACCCTCTGAAATAAAATGTTACACTTGTTCTGGTCTGCAAGGCAAAGAGGTCTATTGATATACATCTCCACTTATGAAACATGTTCTGCAGGACTGTCTTTGAGGGCCACTCATGGTTGCCTGAGAACTGCCTGCTGAGCTGATCTGCCAACATATTCTGAAGACTGGGAAGGTGCAGAGCCACTGGTGTGAGCTAATTCAGAATGCACCAATCCCAAAGTCAAAATGGCCTCCTAACAGAGCAGAGACAATCTTGCTGTCTCATCTTTTGGCATAATGCCTAGCTGTGATGATGTTACATGGATCTGTGGAGTTCAGATGGGAATGCTTTGTATGCCAGGTGGATGGCTTTGAGCTGTAGGTGGATTATAAGGAGAGAGGACCTATGGTTACTTTATGAATCTTGAGTTTGAAGGTGATCTAGATGAACTCCCTATCCTAAACGGAAGTGTGTGTCACCGGCATCTTAGTAAGTACAAGTACTCCATTCCACACTTGAAGAGGGTCTTTCCACCAGTTTTATGAGGAGTTCTTCCTGGTCTGTGAATATCATTGTCCATATGATGCCTGCTGGATAGACACACTGAGTTCAACTGCTCCTGCATGGAACATAGGTGAGGTCTGGCAAATCACATCACATAGGTGCATAAGACCATGAATCCCAAGAGTCTGAGGCATGTTCGCACTAGTGTCTTGGGGTAATCTAAGTTGGTTGATGAGGCTCACTATCCTTTGGAATCTTTCTTATGGTACACTCACTGATCTGGAATCTAACACTGCTCCAATGAACTATGCTTTGAATCAGAGTAAGCATGAACGTCTCTGATTTTAAAGCCCAGGACAGTGAGGAGTTGTAAGAGTTCTTGGATCAAGTTGGTGTAGATAAATCTCTGCATTAAGCATCTTCACATAACTTTCATATGACTTTGTATTATTCCTCTATTTTCATACAACTTTGTATCAGATCCTTATATGAAAACTTTTTATTGAGCCTTGGTATAATGTTAAAAAAAAATGTATTTTTGCTAGGAGTAGAATAAGACCTCCCCC